CATTTCTGCACTCAGTCACATGCGAAGTCACCGTATTCTCTTGCTGTTTTTTGTCACTACTTCCTTGTTTTCCTTCTCCCAGCACTCCCATTTATATATGCATATAAACTAATAAGATAGGAAAGCAGGAACACATTCAAATTTTTTTTTTCCTGTCCTTATCCTTTCTATCATTACTTTCATTTGGTGACTCAAAGGCTAAAGAAAGCCCCCTGCTCTACATTTGCCTGAAGACTTCCCTACCACCTGAGGCATTGTCATGACACAGACTTAGCAGTACCATTAGCTAAATCTTGCCCAGGTTAAAATGCTGGGTCTGTGTATGTGGAGGCTTATTATCCACATGAGATCAGGGAGAAGCCTTCAGTGAAAACAAGTCTTATGAAGTTATTCAGCCTCAAATCCATTCACCCAGCTTTTCCTCTATCAGCATCCCCCAACAAACCCTGAAACAGCTTTTGCTGGGGAGAGCACTACAAGTCTGCATTGCTTTGTAGAAGCAGTAGAAATAGGAATAATGTTTCAGAGTACTCCCCTTCCTGTCTCCGCAAGTCTCATTTCAGAGCTACCTAACCACTGTTCAGTAATATTTTCCTATTTACGTGCCAAACTAGTCATATTGTGCCCCAACTCACAGTAAGTAAACTGCAATATTGTTTAAGGGTTTTTCTGTTCACAAAAGCATGAGCCTGGATCAAAATTTTCCTTCATCTATTTTAGCTCAAGCTTCATCAGAAGTCAAACTCATTTGAAAATACAGTAATTCAACAAATCCTCTTACTGAGATATTAACTAGCTACAATTTTAAAACATGTAATGATAAGGAGGACTGGAATTTCCCAACAGGACCTCTACAAATGCTGCATGCTGATAGTAGCTCTCTTTTCTCTTGCTTTTGTTCAATTTATAGTTTCAATAGTTTATGATTAACAGTTTTTCAGTAAAAAAATACCATCTTGGTGTTAAAAAAAAAAAACGAACAACCCAAATCAAAATTCTTGATTGAATTGTGGGGGTGCAGTAATTTTAGAAACATGTATCAAATTCTAGCTTGTTCTTGCAAATCAAATAGTCAACAGCACCTTGATTTTTCTTTATCACAACTCTTTGCTCACAATTTGCAACTATGACAGAATAGGCTAAATACTGCACAGTGCCCATCTTTGCCAAAGCTATTTGCTCATGTTCACAGGACTTTCACCATGTCATGGACTAGCTTCTGATGTCACAGCAAGAGTATCTATGATAACTTCCAGTGACACCACCAGTCAAATTTGTAATATAGTTTGTTTTCCTTGATACTTGAGGTTAGAAAGGCAAAGTTAGACAATCAGATGATACCTTTTTCACTGCATATAGGCATTCTGTAACAGGAACAGTTCACTCAGACCTAAACACTCAATTTTACATTTCATTTTGCAAATCTGGAACTGTAGACACGTTTCTTGTAGTTTCTAGTAACAATGAGTGTTATACATTACTACTTTCAGACCTGACTATATTCAAACCTGAATGAAAGACTGATTCATTTAGCTCACTTCCCTCAAAAATTGTTATTACTATAAACAACAACAAAAACTCATAAATTAATAAAGGTGAATTGTGGTTCTGGGTTTTTTCCTCCCCCCGAATACAATAGAGGAAGCATTCATTCAGTAGGATTGTATTTGCAGCAAACTGAAGCATGATGCAAAGGATGATGCTACTTTTAAAAGGGCTGCCAGCTGTTTAATTCTCAAAAATACACCATTCTTAAAAATGAGGCCTTCTAAGGAAGGCAGATACCAACTGCAGCACAGACTAGCTAAGCAGTTTTGTCCACATTCAACAGGACAGCAACAGAACACATACTCTTCTCACCAGTCTCTTCCTTAACACCAGGAAATGTAGGAAAGAAGTAACTACCTTGGTGACAAGGCTCATTGCACAAAAGTCATGTCCATCACCAGAAAAAAACCCTACACAAACAGCAGAGAATGCACCAGGACCATTGTATGGCTTGCTGACCATAAGTCATTTATCTCTCTCTTCTCCCAATTGCCTCCTTCCTAGCCTTCCCACCTGGTTTTATGGCTGGTTACAGTTGCCATGGCCTCCCATCTTCTGAACTTGACTTCCTAGTCTTATTTTCTTGTGTCTGTGGTCTGTTTGCAGTTACACCTGAAGATTCCAGACAATCTCAAATTGTGAGATGTTCACAATTTGCTGATAGACACTCAGTAGTTTAGCAATCCACACCCTCTGTGATCTGCTTACAGTATGCTTATCCAGCTGCTATCAGTCACACCAACAGAAACTACTTTCTCTTCTACTCTCTCATAAGCTGATGTAAGTATTCCAAAGGGACATCTTATAGACCGAAACCAAGACGGAATCGTAAGAAGCCGTCCTTCAGCTGGCTGTAAGCAGATGTGTTTCCACTGCTAAAGACATTAAAAACTCCTATGAGATCTGACATCTCTCTCAGACTGATTTCAGCAGAGGGAAATACACAGGAGGGATATTCCAACTAGGCAGTCAGTTACCTCCATTGCAAGGCAGACAGAAGCTGATCCAAAAACCCAGTACAAGTATTTCTATTCACTTTAGCGACAATTATACAGGCACACTTTTCACAGAAGAAAACAGCTCCACAAAGAGCAACTTTGCACAGAACAAGCTAAAATAGTTCCAAAGTGAGGTTGAAGTTTATACTCCTTGTCTTCAGCTGTGTTGTGGTTCATTTCATGAAAAATCACTGGTGGTACTCAAGAAGGCACTCCCACTAATATAGATTAACTTGATAGCAATGAATCATCAAAACACCCACCTTAAGAAAAGGGCAATTTTTCTGTTCTGACTTGACAATGTCCTGTAATGAACAACTGTCTTTGGATTTGTCACTTGTTTACAAGCATTTCAGTTTACATTTTAAATGCTTTTAATATTGTCCCCAAATTTGATACTTTTACAGTGTTGCAGACAGCCAACCAGAAATCTTTTAGAGGCATTGCTACCAAGATCAGAGTCTAGGCTAACATCTACCATGACTCAGTTTGCTTTCAAGAAGAGGCAGTGAGTTTAATGGGGGGAAAAAAGGTAAGAAGAGGCAGTTATCTAACAGAGCTTCATAACGGGATTGGCAACGACAGACTCATCCTAGTGGAAAGTCTTCCATAACCAGTATATTTTATATTAAACTTAGTTTTAGCCCTGCAATTGCTGAATGAGGGCAAGAACATGGGTTTGCAGAGAGCCCTGTTAACTGCAAAAAGGACCCACAGTGTAAACCAGCCCAAAATGATGACTCCATTTCACCACTGATCCTCAGCACAAAGCATTCAAGAGCAGCAAGGGGTAACCTACAGTGTACTGCTCAGGAAGTGGTTTTTTTTCCTGCCAAATGTTAATAGATATGCCTCTTCACTACAACCCTAAAATTAAGTAGTAACTCAACTTACTATCTGGGGACATGTAGCAATTTCAACTGCTTAAAACCATCTGAAATAGGGAAACAATGTCACTGCTCAGGGTGACTCCTGACTGTTAACTACATTTAAGGGAACCTGGATGCCTAAAAGACTCCCATGCCATCTTGGGGAAGAGAAGCTTTTCAATAATATTCCAAAATGGAGTACTACCTTATTTTATGCTAAAGCAGAAATTTCAGAAAAAGTCCATGTTGAACGCCATACAGCAAAAGCACAATACTCTAAGAAGCACTATGATTTAATAGTGAAAAATCTGACAGTTACCAGAAAAATATCTGGAGATATCAGCTGTGCATAAGGGAAGAAGAAATTGTATTTTGCTAATCAGTTTGGGTTTTGGATCTACACAAGTGGTGGCGGGTCAAACAAGGCACAGACTAGTGCTTGGAATCCCCCCCTCATCCCTTGATATTTCTAGGATCAACAACCAGTTTTTTTTTTTTTTTTTTTTTTTTTTAAAAAAAAAGTCCACTCCACTCAGACAGAACAGCCACCTGTAGATTTAAGAAAGTGGACAGTATGCACCACATAAGCTTTTATCCTGCTGTGCTGAAGATTCCATTAGCTGGACTCCCTGCTTCTCTGCGCTTTTATCCCAAAGACCTGATGTCTGCAGTATCTTTATGACTAGTTCCTCAAAGGCACGTTGCACTCCATCCTGTGTCTTGGCACTGGTCTCTGGTGGAGGGGGAAGAAAGGAGGGTGGGGGGGGAAAGTATTTTATCTTATTTGCAGGGAGTATTCCACTTTGTAAGAAGTTCTTTTGGGACCAGAGAGAAGACACAATTTTTTTAATGAGTAAACCTCTCCATTCTCCCTTAAAGGCACACGTAAGTTGAATATGATAAACAGAAATGCATCCCAGTCTGAAGCATCTCATTTTTCCACCTAAAAAAATCCACAGCTCCCCATTCTCTCCATAATGGAGAAACAGAAATTGTTCTCAGGTTGCGACAGTAAATCTACAAGATAATTATACCATAACTAAGCTAGGAAACAAAGAATGCAGAGGGAATTACATCTTTTCCCCTATGCATTTGTTCCACTTCCTTCTGGAAATCTTTTCAAGAAGCTTCACCTAAAAAGTACCTTTTTTTTTTTTAAAAAAAAAAAGCACAGTTTGTTCCCCATCTTTATATCTTCACATTGTACATTTTATTGTTGGTCTAACAATACTGTCTTTTATGCAGCTGCAACAGAAACTTGGAAACAAAAAAGAGATCAGTCCTTGCTGACATGAGTCAGGAGAAAAATTCCATTCTTCTGGGCTCTGAATTAAAAAATCCTGCTAGTTTCAAAAGAATATAAAATCCATGCCTACACAATATATGAAGTAAATCTCTTTCAGAAAAAAGTACTTGCAATTGCAGTCAACGCAGAGCATCTCTGAAAAAAGTTAAAACCTACATCCATGCATATGAACTAATGCAGCAAAAGAAACCCACGTTAATTAGGCACTAAAAAAACCGAAAGTAAATCAACCTATCAACCTGAAATACAATTGTACACTTCATTCATGCTTAACAATACCAAAATAAACATATGAATATACAAGTTTTTCACACAGAGTTACATACCTATAAAAAGCAATGAGCGCTTCCTAGCAAACTGGAGTCCTTCTCTTCTCTCTACTTCACGATCAGGCTGCAGAGACGAATGAAGAACATGACTAAAATAAGCTACACTTGCCACTTTTAGGAAGTCCCTGGAAAAGCACCACTGCAGAAGTGAAGTTTTGCTGAAAAGAAAAAAGTCTATAAAACCATGTAGTAATCAGCAACTGGATTTTCCTACTCTACAGACAGCTTACTGCTAGGCAGGCTCTTAGGGGGTCAAACTGAACAGCAGCAACATCAAATCAATAGGAAATGAATGTGTTGCTATTTTCTGAATCAACTAGGAGTAAAAGATATGCCAGAAAGGAGCTTTCAGTAGTCAAATAGCTGAAAAGGCATATCAAAGGATCTGACAATTGACAGATTTGGAAGGGGGCAGAAGCTAACGTAGTTCAGGACAGCTACACTGAAAACCTCTTGTAGTAAAGCAAGAGTGAAACGTCTCACTATGCAACTGGCATCCAAGATATGTCAAAACGTCCCAGAAGCGTACAGCAACCAGTGCCCCTCACCCCCACACAGATGCACACACTATAGCCATCTGAAGGGCTGAATTCTCCTTCCCCACCACCTGTCCAGAACAGTCTGGTCAAAAAGAAAGCAGCAGTTGTGCTATTGCGCTGCAGTTAACTTCAATGGTCTACAGCAGTTTTTAGGCAGAACCTCTCACTATCTTAAAAGAATCTCTCTCACCAATTGCATTTCTCCAGGAAAGTTTCCATTAAAATCTTTAACAAGATCTGCTTCAAAAATCAGGTAGTAAGTGGAGCCTGCCCAACCTAGGTTCCTCAGTTACAGAGCATATCACCTCCTCACACAACACGTAGAGTTTCAGCACTTATCTCACATTTATACTCTATCATGACTGAGTAATCTGGAAGAGTGTAAGAAGATGCATTTCTAAACTGACCTTATCAGTTTTATTGCCAACTAACATCTTCACAGTGTTGCTTTTGGTGGTATACATTTCCAGCTCATTCAGCCAGCTCTCTAGTCCTGCGAAAGTGTCTTTTCTTGTAACATCATACACTGGTAACAGAGGAAAAGGAGCTTAACAGCTATAGAGTCTTGAACCATGTTTACTTCATTATGGCAGAACTTAGTCCCTACCAGCTAACTACTGCCCCTCCCCCAAAAAGCAGTATTAGGGAATTACAGGAAGGTGCATCAACCATACCCTCTTCCCAGAGCTGGAACACATTGGCTGTGCTCACCCAAAGTCACTAGGGATTACAGAACACGAGCATCTCTGCAATAGATCTGTGACTGGAAATCAGATTTCCCAGTTGAAATCTTATACCTGTTACTAGTTCTGAATTGGACCACACAAAGTATTTTAAATAGCTATTTTGCCAACTCATTTAATGTATAACTATATGCATGTACTGCTGCTAAAAACACGGATTCTGAGTAAAAAGTGACTTTCGGTCACCGGTAACTTTGTAACTGTATTCACTTAATCACTAAGGTTTAAAAACCTGCATCATAGTCAGAAAGAGTATTTTGTACAGCAAGGTGCTCAGCCTTCACAATCCCCGAGAATCAGAATCCCTTCTTTTTCTAATTGGTGTTGTCATGCAGGAAGGGACTAGCCATCCATTACTTGCGCTACAAACCTCATGTCTTACAGTAATCTACAGTTTATGGGGAAAAAAAAAAAAGTAAAAACATCATGGGGAGAAAAAAACCAACACAAAACCCAATTTGCCTTCTTACCAGAAACTCACCAAAATAATTACTACAAAGCTAATAATTCATCCACTGAACAGCTTGCAGTGCAACATCTCTGTATTTTTAATTTAAAATATTTCAAAGAAGCATTATTTCCTGACAGTGGTTTTGCATACACGGTGCTTGAGCTAATGATGCAGTAATGTTTTAAAAACTATAATTGTTCATCTGATTGTCTCACACAACCTCCTTTTGTAAAGACATGCACATTTAGGTAGTAATAAACACTACACTTCTTGTTATCATGTTTTTCTTCCATATACCTCCTACCTAAAACAACCCCTTGAGCTCCTCGGTAATAACTGGGAGTCAGTGTTCTAAAGCGCTCCTGTCCTGCTGTGTCCTACAGAGGGAAAAAAAACAAAGAAAAAAAACACACACACAAAATCAAACATATTTAGAACAAAAAAGGAATTTTAAACTACACAAGATAAACAAAGTTAATTTTTTCCTGGCCAGTAAGTATATGTGAAACCGTAAGACAATAGAATGAGGGAAGCAGTCAGAAAACATTAGCAGCAGCAACAGAAAATAGATAAGGAGAGGTAGAAAAGCATGGAGAGGACTTGATGGAAGGTTAAAGCGATAGGCACAGACACCTGTAACATGAGTAAGATGACAAGAAAGTCAATGGGACTCAAGAGAAATACATAAGAGGCTACTGCTGCAAGCCAAGCAGCTAGGCTTAAATCAGTTAACAATCTGCTAAACTGAAGAGGTGAGGAATAACTTGTGTTCCAGGGAGAGACACTGCAGAAAAGGAGACACAGTGGTTCTAAAAATCTCCCTTTGCTCCTCTACAGCAGGAAAGGAGAATCCAGTTAGAAAGAACTACTTCAAGTTTGCTAAGACTCTAAGCAGGTAAGAAATTTAAGATCAGTGGTTTCACACAATTATTACTGCAGTATGTCACACTTATTCTCAGGAATCTTTGAAATAGCTCCTAAGTACAACATGAAATTAAAAAACCCTCAGAACAAACAATCAGGAGGCAAAAGAATTACACAAATATGATTTTTACCAAAAAGATTTATTTAAATTTATGTACAGATTACAATAGACAGACTAACAGCTATGTTGTAATTTATTTCTTCTTTGTTAAAACAAAGAAACTAAAATTGGCAATATATTTATTTAATTCAGGTCATGGTTACTAAGGAGATTGTACTCTTAGTGTCCATGTGCACATGGATGGCTAAAGCAGAAGCCTCTTTTTTATCTTGATGCACTGTACATGCATTAAAATTTTTATTTAACATTGTACAACTGCACTGGTTTCCCCCCCCCCAAATTAGCAGTTTCTCCTGATGCTGTTACAGACTGCTTCAAAAGTATCTTTTCCAGCTATATAACTTGTGCAAGTTCTGGCCTTGTTTTTCATTTCACAGCAAGAAGACACACTCCTGTGTGATTATTAGGGCAAACATACCTTGTTTACTCTCAGCAAAGCTTCTGCTTTGTGCGCAGCATGTTCAGAATACAGCCAATACATACGCTCACTGGCTAGAGCAAGTGTGACTTTCTCACTCTTGCTCTGCATTCTGTACACAGTGTGAACGAAATCAAGAAAATAATTCAGATTTCGGCATTTATATTACTTTTGTTAATACCAGCCCAAGGCACATTTATGCTCTCTTTCCACTGGTCCCAATTACTTAATTTGTAATGGCATGTTCTTTCTCAAATACCTACGACCATATACATGAAATCTCTTCCTTCTAGAGCTCTTTCATTCCATTTAGGAGAATAATATTATTCTAATGCTTTAATATTATAACTACATTATTTATATTATAATACATTATATAACATATTATAATATAATTTAATATTAAAGTAATCCTGATCACACAGCTGCAATCTGATTTCCCAGTTTGCAGGTGCTGGAAATACAGCACCAGGAAATTCAGGACAAATACTCAAGTCTCCCAGTAAACCTGAACCAACCTTTAAACAGTTCAGGTCCAAGTATATTTTTTTTTCCATGATTTTAACCAAAATAAAGCATCTGGACTGTTTCTGATATAGTATACACGCAGAGTCGCTGCACAGCCCCTACAGGAAATCATGCAATTCATCACCCAGAACATGACTTTTCTGCAGTTTACTTGACTTAAGTGCTGTTCATCCTGGGAGTGCTTCTGGATCATACAGACATGAAATGCCTGCCTTTCTTGCATGGTCACATCTTTACAAGTCTAACACCTCACAGAGGGTTTGAGAAACCCAGTTGTGTAAGTGCAGGACAGAGCAGTCAAAATCTCTACTAGACTTGAAGGAAGTCCCAAACCTAGAGCAATGAAGCA